ATTGTTCTGACAAGTTTTTGATTTCTAATCTTCTTGCTAATATTTTACATATAAATATGTACTAATTGGTTGATTAATAAAATAACTGACTCCTTAATATATGATGGTATCAATCACAAGCTGAGGCCAACAACAAATTCCAGTATTTTGACTAAGGTTATAATTCAGTTCCAGATTTTCCTGATCCAGTTGGCACGCACTAGCAGATGAATGATACAGGCATCATTTAGAAAGAAGATTCAATTTCTTATCTTGGTTTGAAATTAAATGCAACCTCCAAAGTCTTTCATGTTCATATATAGTCCTCATAAAATGCTGGTATGTAGCTACTATTTTGTAAGAGATTAATTTCTGCATTTTTTTGTATCATTTACATTTTTTTTGTAAATAATAGATGCTGCTTTTTAAGAAATGTTTTCAGAATCACTCCCAAATGAGCGTTCAACAGTCATCTCCAGCTGCACGAACCTGCACTTCTCAGTTTCTTTGCTCCAAACTTGAGCTCTCTTTTAATGAGAGCCAGAGAGGATTTTAATTTTGTCACATTTCCAGGGCACAAATGGCCTTTTCCATCTGAGGTTATGATTCATCGCTGATTATAGGCAGCTCTCCCCTCTGGGGACAGAGACAGACATGGGTTTGCATGACATCTGCACACAAATCCCATATAACTGCTGTCCAACACAAATTCTTTTACTTAAGACATTTCCAGCAGCAAAAGTCACTCCACCAGCTGAATACATTTAATTTCAGATGGTCACAAATTGTAATTTACAGAAAATACAAACACTCCTTTATTTCTGCGACGTTAATAGTTCTCAGGACTCCTGCAGGATGTGCTAATGCAAAAATATTATTGTCGAAATGAAAATATTATGATGGCTAATATTTGGCAATGCACTGGCACAAACTCTGGACCATAAATACTGAACTGCAATGATCAAAGTGATTTTTTTAAATTGCTTATATTGTAGGACCAAATTTCAGACAGTCTCTTTACTCTTATTTGGGCATCAAATACTGTCTGCAAGGGCTATTGGACTGTTTAATAGTTGCATACCCAACTAAAAGTCTGGCTTGTTTTAAAAAAAAAAATCAAAACAAACTTCACTCTGACACAGCTGGATTTTATTTATAGAGATCTTACAAAGCATTGATTTTAATCCTGTAATATGATCACTGTTTATTTTCTGAAGCTTTTCCCAATATCATACAAAATTATCAATTTTCCAGCATTCAGCCATTTTTGGCCTTTGTATTTTATACATACTCTCATTGGCCACTTTATGTATTCCGATTGGTACCTGACTAGTACTGGATTGTACCCTCACTTCCTTTCAAAGTTGCCTAAATACTTCATGCCACAGATACGAGAAGGTGCTGGAAACATTCCTCAGAGATTTTGGTCCATAGCATCACACAGTTGCTGCACATTTGTCAGCTACACATCTATGATGAGATTCAAAGCCAACTGTTTCTTAAACACTCTAACTAGCACCAGCAACCATGCCATGTTCAAATTCAAAGTTCAAAGTCACCTGTCGTCTTCATTGTGATGGTCAGTTGAAAAACTTTAGCTGTTCGTCTTGATCATGTGTATCTAATTAATTGGTGAGTGTAAGAGAATGAGAGTACCCTACATATGAGAGCACAACACTGAATAAATATGAGTAAATAAAACAGTAAAACCAATACTATATTCTTCTCATAAGATGCTCTCAGCACTGGACTGGTGAGTTTTTCTGTCTGTGTCGTTGTCGGCTGTTAGAAAGCTGCTCCTCGGTGGGGTCCACTCTGCTTTGCACAGCAGGAGCCTCTCAGGGCTGGCAGGGCTCACCTCCCGTTTCAGTGACAAAGAGTTGGCAGCACAACTAAAAGACCCAGTTATGACCGTGTTGTTTTCCAGATCAGCCGATGTGGTGGTGCCGGTATAAAACCTCCGGAGCCCCTTTCTGAAGTGGATGGTGAATAGGCCGTAGATGAGCGGGTCCAGGCAGGCGTTGACAAGCCCAAAGATGAACAGGATGTGAGTTAAGGAGTGGGAAACCTTCCCCTCCAGGTCGTCAGGGAAGAACCAGTACCACAGGCCCAGCAGGTAGTATGGAGTCCAGCAGATGATGAAAGACAGAACAATCACAATACTCATTTTCAGAGTTCTCATCCGGGCTCTCGGGATGTTATTCTTTGAACACCGCAAGTGCATTTCACTGGAAGGTACTGGAACCAGAACAGAAACAAAATATAGTGCACATTTAAAAGGCTATGAACACAAACCTTTATTGTTTTTTAAGTTATTATTTTTGATTAGTTATTGGCTCAAGGTAAGCAGATGTTCACTTTGAGAGTACTGTGATACTTAAGGGATAGTCAAAGGCCTTTGCCAACTTTACTCATGAATGATTTAGTCATTGAATTCTTGTTTTTTCATTCAGCTTTAGCTTCTACAGCGATCTTGTTATTTGTTTAGTTCTCTTACTCTTTCCCTGTCTGCTCCTCCCCCTTTCTAGTCTTTCTATGGCCCTCCTGTATTGTTTCGTTCTTTTGGGAGTTCAGCTGGTAGTTCTCAAATATGTAGGGGGATCACCAGTATTAGGATTCTTCACCTGGAGACACTTATGGCATTTATGGCTGGTCAGACTGCCGCTCATTTAATATTTAATAGATTATTTCTTCTTTACATCTAAACTAAACTGAAACTTACAGTTGTCCTTTTTCAGTCGTCTGGAGATCTCACAGAAGATCCTGGTGTAACAGGTAATCATGATGACCAGCGGCAGCAGGAACAGGCAGCAAAACGTGAACATGTTGTAGGCTGTTTCATGCCAGTGGGTGACAAAGCTCCCCCGTGTTGTGCACTGAGTAAAGTCCTCGGGATGGATGATGGTCACATTGTGAAAAAGGAACATCTGAGGAGGGAAAAGGTGACATTTAGAAAAGTATTTTTAGTCATATGAAGTAACACATGAGCTACTTTCACAAGTTTACTGATATTGTTGTTCACAGCTGCTTTTACACATCAAACAGCTGGGAATGGATGCTGTTTCAGGAAGAAACTTCAAGGGTCAGATTACCCCGGTTCAAAATCGGCCTTGTGTGGCTTTAAGTCCTGCTGATAGTTCATCATTTTGTATTGTTTCTGTAGCAGAAATTAGTGAAAATTATACTGGCAACATACCACTGGAAATGAGTGAGAATGAACTAACCCTGCTGAGCTAATGTCACATTGACTTTTAAAAATTGTTTACAGTTATTTGCAAAGAGAAAACAACTACTAAGTTTGATTTTGATCATATGAGGATAATACATTTTACCAAGCTACTGTCTCTCAGAGCGCTAAATAACATCTTTTACTGCTTGTGCCTGACAAAGTTTTGTCTCCATCCTGTTTTCAGGGAGCTCATGAACCTTTAGAAGGTGTTACAAAAGTTGGAATAAGCCATGCAAACCTGTGAAATGAAGCTATAGTTAACTTGTTTTAACCCTGCTGTCCTTAACTAGGCATAATTCTGTAGTGCATATGCAAGTGCTGACTCTGAGCGTGAACTGGACGGAGTATAACAAAGGTTTATTATTTATTTTAAGCAGCAGTTTTGTATAATTACACCTCTTAGACCTTTAATTTATTTGAGCCTAATCCAAAAATTAGGAACTTCTTCTCTTAGAGAAGGGTGATCTATTTAAATCTCTTATCCTTAGGCTTCATCACCGGGTAATTTAACATGTCTGTCTTTGAACTGTGGACGGAAACTGAAGGAACCCCATGCAGGCACAGGGAGAACAACACAGAAATTACTCAGCTGGCAGTGCTAACCAGTGTGTCCTCCTTCTATGAACATGAACAGTTTAATTTGATTTAGTTCCAAATTACGCAGCGCACACCTGCAGGTTCAAACACCACACACCTACTCGATGATTTTAACAGGTGCTAAGAAACACTGACAAAAAGGACAGATTGCAATCAATACCTTCTTCTTTTTTTTTTAAGTCAGTTCGTGACTCATGAACAGAATGAAATGAAAAAATATAACAGGCTCATTCAGCTGATGTTCTCACAAACACAAAGAAAAATGCTACCTGCACTCCAAATGCAACAGTATCCCTCTGTTATGTGTTCTTGGACAACAAGAACACAGCAGCTTCATGCTGGGTCTGTGATACAATGCCCGTAACCAGGATAGATTGTGGGATTTGTTCATTTTCATAAAAATAAATAAAGCTACATTATCCTTTGAGTAAATGACCCCTTACTGTTGACTTTGGTGCTTCTTTCAGCAGTTTTCCACACTGGGATGAATGTGTCACAGGGAGCTCTTTATTTCAGACTGCCTCTATACTTTTTGTTCTGAAAATTATTATTTATGAAAGATTGTACTAAAGCAGGGAGTGGAGTTAAACCTCCTTTAGAGAGGATGAGAAGCAGTTTAATGGCCTGATTGAATTTAAATTAGTCCTGATCATTGCCTCTGCTGTCAGCGGGAATGCCTGAGCTTACCTGAGGGACAGACAGCACAACGCTCATAACCCAAGCCACCGTGAGCATGATTCTGTTCCTCTTTCTGGCCTTATTGATGGCCAGAGGGTTGAGGATGGCTGACTGCCTATCCAGACTGATTACAACTGTGACAAAGGCGCAGGAGTACATTGCCTGCAGCTTAAGAAACATCAGCAGCCTGCAGGCAAAGTCTCCGGCAAGCCACTGAACTGTGATGTTCCACACCGCATCTACGGGCATCACGATGAAGGTCACGAGCAGATCCGCCATTGTCAGGTTGACAATCAGCACCCTCACGTGGGATTTTCGTTTCCCATCTATGCGAGCCGCCCACAGCACTGCCAGGTTACAAAAGGCAGATATGCCACAGAGGATGAAGGTGATGATCACTCTCGCTTTCGCCGCTGTACTGAATGTGGGCAGCTGAGGTGCCACGCCCCTTGCTGTCCAGTTTGAAAGGGCAGAGGAGCAGTTGCAGTTGGTATCAAGTTGGTGGTCTGCCACCAGTTGATACATAACCGCTGCAGGGTCACACAGAGAGGCGTTCATTTTCTGAAGCTCAGGGGAAGGAACATTGTGCTCATCCACCATGAAGGTCAACACTGGAAATAGGAGAAAAGCAATAAAAGGGAATCACCAAGGGACCAGAATAAGTGTGTTACAAGACAAACACAAACAGCCCATAAATGATGGCAGCATATCAAGAGGAAGTAATATGCATGTATGGACGCCCAATGTGCACTGAGCTGGAGAGATGGAGCTAACAGACTGTGAGGACCAAAGTCAGCTAATGCAATAGCTGAAACTTTTCTACAAATGTGCTTTCATGTTTTCCCAGAGTGCACACAAGAAGTCTAATATTCACCCAAAGCTTACTGAGAATTTCTTTAAAAACCGAAGACAGATTTGAAAAAAACAAAGCAAAAATGAAGATTATTGTATATTATTAAATATTAAATCAGGAGCATTTAAAAAGAAAAAGAAAAACATGATGGTGACGATATCATTAAATGGTGTTTTGTGAGCCCCATTACCAAATATGAAACATTACAGTGATGCTACCTGCATAACACCACGAAACGTTTAAATCTAAGAGTTCAGTCAAGACCATAAAATATAAGGAAGCTTCACAACAGCGTGAAGGCCTCACCAGCATCATGTCTGCTTTGCGTCAGTAGCAAAATAAGCAATATGTTATATTCTAATGTGCATGTGTTTTATAGCTGTAATAAAACAGGAAATATTACACGCACAATCGCATTGTGAGTTATTACCACTATAGAAAAACAGTTTCGGTATAATCCTATTTGTAGTTAGTAAATCGACGAATCTGGCGTCCTTATATCCAAATAGACCTAAAATCTTTACTGCACACATCTTATCAGAGTTCTCTGTTTTTAAAATAAGAGGCACTGATTAGAAGACACCGTGCACTGTTTATCCGGAGAATCTGGAGCCCCAAAACGAGATTAACACCACATCCACTGGACATTTTGCAGTTGTACAGGGTGTGCTTTGTATTAAACTGGTAACCTTCACCGGAGGCATGTTATTTTACAGACTTGTTTTTAAAAAAAACCCCGCAAAGCAATGCGTAAAAATCATCATCTTAAAATCGTTCTTAATAAATTCATTCAATAAACAAAACAGACAGCGTGCTATTAAAAATGAAAAAAAGACAAACTTACATGGAGTGATGCCGTGTTTCTCCGAGGGTTTAAAAATCACCGCAGGACTAAAAGAGCTTCGTGTGTTAGTGCGTTAATGTGCGTTTGTTTTCCACAGGTATGCTGCTGCAAGTTTACAAAGTCCGCAGGTTCAGCCGTCCGGTTCTTCTGCTCCAGATGCTCCGCCCTTATCCATACACGCCAATCAGAGACGTGTGAGATAACCCCCCTCCCGGCGGGTCTGACCTCAGCTTCATAAGCCAACAGCCCACTCAAGTGGTTAGGACGCATAACTGTGATGAATGATGACAAGGCAGACAAAAAATGATAGTTTGGATGAGAGTTGTGGTGTGATACCCTCCAGTCAGCCGCATCTCATAAAAATGGTTCATGAGATCATCGGGGAAAGACAGCTGAGGCTTAGAAACATTATGTGTGACAAACATCTGAAGACTTTGAGATGCGCTGTCCAAAGAAAGTTTATTTTGTCCACAGAAAAAATATTTTGTCTGTTTTTTCTTTTTTTATTTGACCGGTGGTTGTATGAGTGCAGATTATATGCCCCAGTGACCATTAAAAATAAGCCTTGATTTAATTTTTAAAACCAAAAGCTGCTTCTGAAAGGTCATCTTTGTCTCTCTATTAATGTTTTGGCTTCTGTACAGCATGATCAATAATTGGATCAATCTGAAGGCTGAAAGTGGAAAAAAGTCCCTGAGCTCACCTGAAATCTGATTTTAAGGTGTGAAGAGCTGCCAGCAGCATTTGCTGCATCACAATTTGCATATGCGTAACCCTATATTTTATTCTCATTTAACAGAAATGTGCAAAGCAAACAAATAAATAAATCTAGTCAATACCAGAAACCAGTGATTTCCACATTGTGAGCTTCAGCATTACCAATTGATTTTATAACAATACTAGTTGTTTTAAAAGTGTCTGATAGGGCAGGGGAAACTTCTTTAAAAAAAAAAAATTTTTTTAATGAAACCTATTCAAGTGGCAACATAAAATTGCTTTAAAATTGCTCTGAAAAGTGAAGCCAGAGTAGAAGTGTCTTAAACTAAGAGACCTTCAAGTCAGTATCAGTGGTGGATTTTTATTCTTCTTTCAAAGAGGAGAACCTTCCATGCATAAGGAGAAGATGTTGGTTCTCTTTGGCTCTACCTGGACATGTGAAAAGAACATCACTGAAATTTAACAAATCCAAATACAGATCCCTTCTCAGTGTCTCAGTGTCAATCACATCTCCCCTAGACACCGAACCTGACTTTAATGCACTTGTTCTCCACAGCAGTCCTAGTTTCTGGAAAAAAAAATGCTTGAAAAAGCAATTGTGGAATCTGAGAACAATAGCTGCATTTTGCTAAGTTTCCAGAATGAATAATATGTTTACCTGAAATTTGCCAGCAGCTTTGAGGTATATTTTTATTGCTCGGTCAGCTCAGGGTTATAAATAAATGGGAGCAGTGCACACAGTGGGTCAGGTGCCAAAGGTATGACATAAGGGAGAGTTAAATGCACCACAGTTTCCATTTAAATCAACTTTTTACTAAGTTTTTTCAAGGCTAAATGCAGCCCTGATCTCTTTCCAAGTCCAAGATTGCCTATGAGACACAGCTACTGTCAGACTATATCTACCTCAATATGTAATGTTCACATTTAACATCAAAACATTTGACTTGGGAATAAAATGTAAGCAAGTAAGATATGGATGAGCAAATGTGGAAGTGCTTTGACTCACAAGAATAGACCATATACAAAAGATGCACCAGGTTAGAAAAGTGAAGCTAACGTGGAAGTGCCTCATAAAGCCCTTTCCACTAGTGCCTCAGCTCAGCTCAACTTGCCATTAGTCAAGTCAGGCTTTTCCATCAGGTGGTAGTGTCTGATGCCAGGTACTTTTTAGTACCTGCTCGGTCAGGATCCTAAGTGAGCTGTGTTGATCTGAAGATGTGACATCAACAGACTGCATGCCACCAATTGGCCAGCCAATGGCATCATTCCACAAGTCATGAGACTGACTCCTTTAGAAAAATGAAAACCTAATAATGAGGGAAGTGGCTACACAAAAACCAACACAATGGTCCCTGAGTCTGACAAAAAGCCATAGACCTAGCAGCAGGTATACCATTGCCTTATCGCTTCCATTGTTGTGTTGTGGTTGTGTCAAATAATACTTACATCACGGGACTTTCAGCCACATGGCTATAACAACCCCACAAACATTAGGTGGTACTTAATGTAATGCAAAGTGACAGAAACTGCCACCATGACATAACTTTACTAATTTGTCGCACTGAATTCAATTTTGTTGACTTTTTTTTAACTAGATGTCACAAGAGAAAGTGTACAATATGTGAATGAGAACTTAAGACAGCATGCTTACCTGACAGGGAAGCTGCTGATTGTACCCCGCTTTATCAGCAGATTTACACTAAATGGGACCATAATTTATCAATTCAGCCTGATGTTATAGAGGCAAAGAATTAAAATTAGCGATTCAGCCCATAAACCTATCAGAAAAATATTTACTGAGATCATATGTAAAGTGACAAGTAGGGTAATTTTTTCATAGACTTCCATTCAGTCTGGCTTCTTTTCTACCAGAGGAGTTGCCCCCTGTTGGCCATGAGAAGGACTGCAATTTCTTTTTTTTCTTTTCTTTTTTTTAACCTTGTTTAAAGGCTGTGTTTGTCTTTTATAATCTTAAAACTAAAAGGCACTGGAAGAGAAAAGGCAATTTTCTCTTCTTAACCTACAAAAGCATTTTCCTTATAAATGTAGCATCATTTAAGGGGAAATAAACAGGCTTTCCTACGGTATAAGATTTTTTCTAAAGAAGCATATTTAAAACTTCAACCCTGTGAGGCTGTGTCACGTCTTCACTGCTACGTTTCACTGACAGCAGTTTATTTTAATAAAAAGCTTATAGATATTTGTGTGGCTGAACAGCTCAAACCGATGAGCTGTTTCCATGGCAATGTCTCACTTAAAGCCCATCGCAGGTCATGGCAAGAGAAGAGGTGACAGCAATCAATTAATACACCACAGACGTTCTCTTTATCCATTCCAGTCTGAGCAAAACACAAAAGGAATGAGCGATGGCACCATAATCAAAGATCCATTACATGTAGGGACTGAACACTGTGATATAGGGTTTAGCAGGGGCAGATTTTACTTGTCTGTTATCATTTGATGAATTTGCTAAAACTGCCAATGTCAAGTTGAATATTTTGCTTTATTATGGGCGATAAAACCTTTCACCACACATTTAAGGAAAACACCCGAAAAAGGACTAAAGTGGGTGGAAAGATGCTTATCTCTAAAAACATTTAGCTTTATTATATCTAATGACCAATATAACATTGATAAGTAGTAAGAAAAGTATAATTACTATTTATGACAGCAAGTATTACAGAAAAGACTTGTTATTATTTTAATGTTTTTATTAAACAATTTTTTAAATAATTGTTATAATTAGTCTGTAATTGCTTTTAATAACAGACTATCTTCTGCCACAGCAGTAGGGGTTAAAAAGCAAGTCTAACTGTTGCTGTACCAGACGCAATGTTGAATCCTGTGATATTAAGACCATCATTATCGCCATGACATTTTCAGTCCACTAATCTATTTGAAAGGGACTGGCAAAACAATACAGGGTGCCCTTCCTTTGTGATGTGCTCATGTTTATGTCGCAGGATCTGTTGTGTTTAAATGGATTCACCTTGTGTAAGTGTTGTCCAGATCACCAAGAGGAAGGAAGGAAGGGAACATACTGACCCAAACATGTTGTTTTGTGCCTCACCGGTCTTCTCGTTTTATTCATCACAAGCTCTCAAAGGGAAGTTAATACTCTGAATACATGATCAGTTGTCTTTTTAAGCTTTAAAAAAAGGAGAACTTTTGAACTGTATCTAAACTGTTTTGATTAAAAAATAAGAGTTTATGTAAGGTAACATTAAAGAGTGTCTGCAAAGAAAGTGTGTTTAATGATGTAACAAAACCCTTACGATGTACATAACTGTTTCTTCTTAATCTTATGGGCTATGAATGTGTCTGTGTAGCTACTATTAAACTGTTAATCTCATGTTAATTCTCATCATTTCTTAAGTTAAATATTTGTTGCTTTAACTTCAAAGGTTTGAAATTTATAGTAGAGATGGACTGAAATTAGAATGGAGTTAAAACTAGGAGCAGAACTCCTCATCCCTAGCAAACATCACACACTGCTCTTCAACTGGCTTACAGTGTATTATCTCTAAAACATGGTGGTGTCACAGGTGTCAAAGAAACTCTTCAGAACTGAGGTAATGTATGAATGCAACAAAATACTAAGAGGTCTTTGTAAGCAACCCGCTACAGACTACAGAGACTGTAGTACAGGGTCTACAGGCGGCAGCCTCTTCAGCTCCCTGACTATCCTCAAGTGACACAGACATAATCCCACATCTGTGGAGAGACCACAGACTGTTTATAAAAAAAAATGCACATAGCCACCAAGATGGCACCTGTTGAGTAGTGAAGTCCTGTTTTTTGTATCTGATATAACAAATGTGATCAGATCTGACAGTTATTCAAAGGACTTCTTACTAAGTATATTATCAGTATTTCCTCCTGTCTGACTATAATAAGGACTTTGGTTTGCAACATTCTAGTCAGTATGACTTAAAACTAGTGACTAGCCCATAAAGTCATCATTAAACTGTTTACTGGGGACACAGAGAAGGAAGCCAAGCTTCATTTGCTCTAGACTTCTATTGAACAGAAGCTTTTTTTGCAGCAAGACAACTAAACCATGATTTTCATAAGCTGATTGGCATCAATTTGTGGTACTGCTGAGGTGTTATTGAAGCCCACATTTCTTTGATAACAGCCTTCAGTTGATGTGTGTTTCTCACTTGCTAATGGCTTGCTAATCAATCACAGTAATAACAAGATCAGTAAACCATTTGGTAGTAGTTTTGGCTCTGCAGGCAGGTGCTAAGTCCTGCTGGAAAAAGAAATTGGCATCTCCATAAGGTTTGTCAACAGATGGAAGCATGAGATGGTCTGAAATCTCCTTGTAGATGGATCTGTTGACTTTTAACTTGATAAATCACAGTGAACCAACCACTGCCTGCACCAACATACCACTCCAAATTATCCTTGACTGCATAAACTTCATACCAGACTTTAAACACCTTAGATTATGTGCCTCTCCACTCTTCCCCCAGACTCTAGGAACTTGATTTCCAAATGAAATGTTGAATTCACCGTTTTTGAAAAGAGGACTTTGGACAACTGAGCAACATTTCAGCACGTTGTATCCCATGTAAATGGCCTGTATTTGTATAGCGCCTTACACTGCATTCAGTCATCCACCCATTCACACACTGGTGACGGCAAGCTACATTGTAGCCACAGCTGCCCTGGGGCGCACTGACAGAGGCAAGGCTGCCAGACACTGGCGCCACCGGGCCCTCTGACCACCACCAGTAGGCAACGGGTGAAGTGTCTTGCCCAAGGACACAACGACCGAGGCTGTCCGAGCTGGGGATCAAACCGGCAACCTTCCGATTATAAGACGAACTGCCAACTTTTGAGCCACGATCGCAGTAGTAAGATGAATGATGCATCACCATGTAAGATACTTCTAATGTTGTCTCCAGCTTAGTAATGAGTTGGTGTACAGTTGTAGCTCCTTTCATGATGACATCTGTGGGTGGTGGCTCTTGATGCGCTGACACCAGCCTCAGTCCATTCCCTATGAAACTCACCCAAGGTATTGAATCGACTTTTCTTGACAGTCTTGTGAAGACTGCAGTGATCCCCGTTGCCCTGTGCATCCTTTTCTTCCATATTTTCCCTTCGAGTCAACTATTTAATATACTTTTTACTTTCCTTGCAAGGAAAAGATGCCTATTATGTGGCTTAATTTAATTAAATTCAGTTTTATTTATATAGCACCAAATCACAACAACAGTTGCCTCAAGGCAACAAAATGTGTGGACGGTTAGGTGTTGATGATCATCACAGACTCATCACATTTATTCTAGTGGAGCTTGGGAGGATCTACCAGGAAGAAAGCATTAACAAAATTCCCTTTTTGAGAGTATCTCCCTCCAGAAAATGCTCTCCTTTTGTTTTTATGGCCTTCAATTCTTCTTGTTTACGCTCTTTCCATCTCAGTGTGCTCAGGGTCAAATCACAAACTTAACATACCTAAAACCCTGAAGCTTCACTAACATCCTTGAAACTCTGAAAACACCATGGTAATCAGGCTGTTAGTCCAGAAGGATGACATTGACATTTTCATCTCAGACAAAAGAGACGAAAAACATGAAATCATGTTGCCGTTTTCTCAGTATAACTAAAAAAATAATTTAGATGAGCAGTAAATCTCTTTGAATGTCAGGTATTGGTTCAACATAACTTCTGCTGTTTGTTCAAATGTTGTTAGTCCAATTTTATTTAAAAAACAAAAAAATAGGCAAACAGAGGGATGGTAAATGGTTTGGTCACCATCACAGCACTGCAAATGAGTGCAAATCTGAATCTCATGACGCCCCAAATATTTCACCTTTAACGTGTGTGTGCAGGCAGGCTGGGGTAATTGCATGGGTTAAGTCTATTTACATGCAAATAGACTTCCAGTGAAATATTTATGTATATATGAATAGAAGTTCATGCTGTGGCTGCTTAAATCTGAAATATTTTAAACTCAAAACGCACTGAGAGCAATATCACACACAGTCTTTACCTAAAGCAGCGGTGCAGTAGCCATGCAGTAACTGAGAGAGGGTTTTTTAAAGTGACAGATTCAAAATAAACACCTCGGGCCACAATTGCAGCTGCTGGCTTCTCAGTCAGGGTCAGACGAAGGAAGCAGCTGCAGTGTTTATCTTTTTTTTAGATGCTGCTGAGCTCCAGGGATGAAGGAGGAAGTCTCCATGTACACCTGTAAATCAGTTTCCATGTGGTTCATTTTTCCAACAAACAGGAAAAGCACATTAAGCCATTAAGTTACCATTGCCTGCAAAAAACAAACAAACAAATATGTTGTTGATGTTGTGATAACAAATGAAAGCAAATTCATATCAAATCCCATCATAAAAACTGTGAACCTTGAGGGAAATCTTACAAAAGCTGCAGATACTGCCGACATGATCTGCCCTCAAACTAGCTGTCCATCTATCTACAAGCTCTACTACTGTTTTTATTCAGCTGGTTCATGTGGCAAAGGCAGATGTGTTTTAGATATCTGGTTCCATAAGCACTTGACTGTACATACAAGCACTGACACTGTTATTAGCTAACTGGTGCTGAGGAATACGATGTAACAGGATGGTTCACCATTAAAAACAGAGAGGTAACTCTTATCTTGCTTACTTAAAAGTGCCAAGCCCCTCACAAACCGTAGCCTAATCTAATTCTGATTATAACTCAAAAACTATCTCCTAGCCAGACAGTACAAAAAATGGATGCAACCACCCAGTGGTTAGGAAATAGCCAAATGTTTTCTTTGACACCATCTTCATATTTTATTACCCAACAGGCTGAGCGAGGTCTGACTGCATGATCAGTGGCCAAAGACTTGAGACTGATAAGATGTTAGCTAATGAACACAAGTTAAATAATCCTCCTTTCTGACTCTAAGAATAAGAACAATTTACAAATTGCATATGCGGTCCCCAAAAAGAAGGAAGTTTTGAAGAAAACCTTTAGATTTAACTTCAAACACACTGCCATCAGCTATAACTATTAGTTTACTGGGCTGAAAATAAATGACAGCAACCAAAAGGATGAATACATTAAAACCTTATGGAACCAAACTGCAGCTTTAGAGTATAACTATAGTGATACAATGATATCACCTAATGCTGAAACTTTTCAGCTGGGATGACATTAAATTCCTATTTAAATAAAAATCACACTGATTCATTCTTGAGGTGCAAACTGGTACTAGAGACTGATCTTAGTCCAACTTCAATTCAATTTTATTTATATAGCGCCAAATCACAACAAAAGTCGCCTCAAGGCGCTTCATAGGTACAGAGAAGTGCTCTAATAGGGTGATATGGTACTACAAGGTCATTAAGATAAGATAGGGCCTGATTATTTAAGACATTGTATGTGAGGAGCAGGATTTTGAATTCAATTCTGGATTTAGCAGGAAGCCAATGAAGGGAAGCCAAAACAGGAGAAATATGCTCTCTCTTTCTAGTCCCTGTCAGTACTCTTG